ACTACTTAGCCTTAGGGACAAAAGGTGGTCCTTCCTTATCTCAGTCTCCAGGCTCAAAACATTAAACTAGACTTACAATTGCTTTTATAAATAAAGTCTTCCTCGTATGTCTACCATTGAAATGATGAACAGTTGACTTACAGTGTGTGTGTGTGTGTTGTATGGTGTTGCAGCATTGTGCACGGGCAGCGGCGCGGAGCCTCGCTCCCTGCTGCAGCAGCTGGAGGCGCGCGGCTGGCGCGAGGGCCAGCACTACCACCGCGTCGAGCCCACCCTCGTCTGCCACGACGGAGAGAGCATTCAGGTCACCCTCTACCCTTCCCCGCACCCCCACACAGCGACACGCCCCTCCCCGCGCCGCCCACTGATGGCTGAGGTGTTGTTGTGTTACAGGGCTCGCACGTGATGACGGAGAGCGGCAGCTACGTGCTGCAGTGGCGCTGCGAGCTGCTGGACACCGCGCACCGCGCCGCACAGCTCATGTACTTCCACGAGACCCTCGCCAGCCACCAGTACAAGTGAGATACACAGTACATACGCACTACTTTTTTACTTAAACATATTACAAAAGAAGATTATGGCCTATCACAGGATTCTTAAATAGTGCAGTCACAGACCATCGCTATTTGTATTAATTATTGGGTTTGTACTTCCTTAGTTGATTATTTTTTCTTATTAATATATAAATGTTTGTTTGGGCAGAGGGTCGATGTCGAGCCTGCAGTCGGCGACGAGCGGGTTCTCGTGCCTGAGCGGCAAGTCCGCCGCCAGCTCGTGTCCCTCGCGGTGATGCGTGCCCGGGCCCGCGCCCGCACCGCACACGTAGGCCCGCCCCGCGCCACCCCGCGCCACGCCCACTGCGGCCCCGCCCACTGCGGCCCCGCCCATTGCATCACACGCTCACAATAAACAACGCAATATTAAATATTATGTGATAGAATAAAGTGCTTCATACCTCTAGGGAAATAAAAGAAGCAGATTTAGCAATGTGCGGTGTAAAGTGGCGTGGTTTTACTGAAGTGGATTTGAAGTGACGTGTAACGTTTCGACTTCTATATGCTGTATTCTACGTATATACGATACGTAAATTCTATTATAAATATATTTATAGCCTGATCAAGAATATTAGAAAACCTCGCCATGTTGCGGAAAAATTTAGAACTAATTCCTTTGCGCACATTAGAAAGTGTAATAAACCGATTGAAGCGCCCACACGTCAGGATTTTTGTATTCTTGATTAGGCTATAATAATTTTGAGTTCTCACAGAGGTTGGAATGTAAGTCTCCATTATAAAAATCAAACGGAATACAGTTAAAAAAGAATATTCAAATAATTTATCAATTATCTTGGAATTAATAAATAAAAAATTACGCTTTTTGATAAACAAATATTTTTCCTATCAAGACTATAACAGGAATTGATAATTGCCATTAAATATTTACTAATATATTAATATGAATGGATTAATATGAATATTCAATAGTTTTCAATAGTTTAACGTACATTGCGTGCTTTGTACGATGTCTTCAGAACGTAATTCCTACTAACTCTGAATTGTATATAGACATAGAAATTGTACGTAAATGTTGCGTAGTCCATAACTATGAATTTAACAAACGTTTGTCGTATTTAGTACGAACTAGAATACATAGTTAATGCAAATCATGTCTTATTACCATACGCATAGAGTCTTAATTAATATTAAGTAGTGAATTATATTTTTTTATTTGTATCACTTTAGTTTTTATGTTATATGGTGTGAGTAACTTTGATTAGTTGTTAAGTGTTTTAATAATAGTGTATTAACATTCTAACCTAAAAAAAAAACTAAATTTAAGGATATTTTAAGAAAAAAATTCCGAATCGCCCATAAATCGCTAAATATTAACCATTCAGATTTGCTAGGAGTTTAAATAAAATGCTATAAAATGTTGGTCAGATTACTTATATTCTGGTCAGATTATTATCTCTGGCCGCTCCTTTAAATGTAGTCAATGAGTATTGTGTGGTAGAATTATCTACTAATTTTATTCTGTAACATTTTTTTTTAATAAATGAGGTTGATATTGTCAAAGATTATAAAAAATACAGATGTCTGAATATAAGATAAAAAATATATAAATATCGAGGTAGTTCAAAAATGTTCTAGTAATATATAAAGTTGAATGTTGGTACAAAGTTATGTTAGGATCGAATCAAAAAGTTCTTAGAAAAAGCGTTTGAATAAAAAAGATATATTAACTTTAAAAAAATCAAACTATTTTAAGAAGAAAAAAAAATATTTTGCTAATATAATTCATTATTAACGAAATTATCATTAGAATAAACTAACTCGATATAAGTGTCATTGTAAAGTGTAAAAATTTGTAATTATTTAAAAAAATCTATAGAGAGTTTTTGGCTTCGTACTTGTGATAAGCTTAGTATCCACTGTCGAAACAATAAAACCATCCTTATTTTTGTCAAAGTGAATGAAATAGATGAGCTTTCTTATATGTAGTCTACCGTATTGGACAGTGATTTAAAAGTTTACATTTGTAAAAAACTCCTATTTAATATCGAACCATTATAAGCGAGAAACTCAGGTAATAGAGAACCCTCTGTAACTTGGACTCTCGCTTAGATTTAACTTAGTAAGTAATCACTGTCTAATGTCGATGCCTGTGGGTCTTGTATCTCAATATTTGAGAAGTTGTATATTGTAGTTAATGTCATGTTGCCAATATAATAAAGAAAAAGAAATTAACGCATATTTTTTCATGAAATACCATAGGTAAATCAATTGAAGATGTAGTAAATACAATTATATGCCATTACATATTGTATAAATATAGTAAAAGTAGCCAATTAATGTTAAAATATATAGTTATTAAACTAATTAAAAGATTAACTATATACTGTATTGAAACTGTTAAAGCAAATTGAACCTTAATCAAATAGGAATACGGAGTACCTAGCTCGTGATTGACAAATTTACTATCTTTGCTTCGTGTTAAATAAATTATTATCGAATATCAGTTATTTCATTTATTTAAATCCTAATTTTATTTAGAAGAACAGACCTACTGTGAGTTTCTGAGACCAAAATACCCGTTTAAAATATAGTGTTATCTCTGTTTTGTCAAAGACAACGACAGAGATGGCGATATGTTTTATACAAAGATTTTGGTCTCAACAACCAACGGTAATCCAAGAATATCCGCTAGCAGGTATCATTTAAACGACATTGTGAAATTCCTTTACGTTGACAGAGGGGCGCTAGTGAGCTATCATAATTTAATTTGACTAATGTCCATTGCGTCAGATAACCATATGTCTGTAACTACCGCATTCATAGTTGTTGAATGTACACTAAGGGGGGACTATGTGTACATTTAGTATGTGCAATAAGGGTCTTCGTAAGTGACCAAAGAACTCTGGGTGCTGCATATCACTTGCAATCCAATATGTTGCATTCTATGACTGTATCCATGTAAAATTAATTTAACGAACTAGTGATAAAAATACTCAAGAATGACGTCATATATATGTGTATGTATTATGTACAAGTTACCAGTATAGAATATGACACGAGTAAGAAATGGCCCAGCGTCGCGCAGGCGTAGCCGATCGCGACCATTTGCTGATTTATATACTTACTATACGTATAAAAATCGCAGATTATAAAATAATTTTCGATCAATATACTTTATGTATGTACTAGTGGTCGCTCGCGACGTCGTCAGCTTGCAATTACAAAAATAGCCTAAGTTACTCTCGCATACGTCAGCTACCTTCCAGTCCCGTCAAAATCGATCAAGCGGTTTCGGAGATTACACGGAACAAACGCCCTCTCGACAGAGGAACAAAAATTACAAACTAGCACGAAGTAGTTTTTATCCGTCGTGTAACCCATACGATAAGCGAAATACATTACTCGTACCACATAAATAAAATTTCACAACGTGCATAAAGCTATGTACATAAAGACGACCATAACTAATTCCATAAAAGTCAAAAGCTCGATAACGGACCTCATTTCACAATATCAATACCAACTGAAAACATACTTTGATTAACCATGCTGAAACACCGCGCCGTTTTCCCGCCGTCTTTTATGGCCCTACGAATGATTTCTTTCTCCACTTGAAATCTTTTATTGCGCCGATAAGAACTCGGATAATTTTACGCCATGGAAATTAGCTCTTTTATAATGAACACTCCGCCGTTGCAATCGCTTGATTGTAAGGAATTCAATTAAAAATACATATTTATTATCTGTTTTTAAATGGCTGGCGGGAAATCGAATCATTTTGATGGTAAAAATTATGTTCTTGATTAAAAAAAAAGGTACAACATAGCGACAAAGTACATTTTTTTCTATTTGCATAAATAAATGGCTTACATTGTTTATGTTCAGAAATAATATAAGTATAGGAACCTATATTTATTTTTCTAACATATTCACTAGAAAATGTGGAAATAAAATGCAGTAGTCAACGTATTCTAACCAAACTGTTAGGGCTATTGATTTCAGGGGATGCATATCGTGTTAGACTCGTACTGCCTGGAACCTAACTCCCGCGCACGTTTAGCCCATTTAAGCTTAGCTTAAGACATATGACAGTATTTAGTTACTGTGAAAATATGATCTATGCAGTTGTACGCGAAAGAATAACGACTCAAATTTAAATACATTAAAGGCTTTGTACACACAAGTTGTGGCAGCAAGGAGGCGGCCTACTTATGCACACATTTTACGAGCGCATTGTTTCCGAGGAGAATTTTCGAAATGACCCGATAAGCTGTTTGCCAGGGCGACGTCATCTTAATGCTGGTTATTAAAAAAAAACTAACTAACCTTACCTTTATAGGTTATAATAGTGCTTATGCTCTAATTCAAAATTTCCCACCAAAACCGAACTCTGAAAACTTGTCAGTTAAACTATTTATTATTTGCCGAATAATTTTCATTTCCCCTTACAACGTACGCTGTAGCTATACTTATGGCTATGACTAAAAGGATTAAAAGACATTAAATTTCAATGTTTACAACCTCGATCATGACAGTTCAAATAAATGGGAGTGGCAGAGCGCTCAATTTGATTGATACCTTATTGATATAATATATTTTGCATAGAAGCTTTGTATGTACACAATATCTTTTATAGAATGTTTACGAAAGCTATGGTTGAAGGAAACATCTGTAGTATAAATAGCTGAAGGCTTTATTATAACAACCTTGTATTTTGGAAAGAATGTTAATTAGTAAGAAAAAGTTAAAAGTTAAAAGATAAAAGAAATGAATTCGATTATTGCTTATGATTACGAAAACATGTGTGCTTAAGAAGGAAAAAACACAAATAATGTACGTGCAAATTTAGTTTTCATGGTCAACATATTATCACAGTTCCAAAATAACAAGTTTAAATTGTAATATCAAAAATCTGACAATAATTATAATTATAAAACAACGTAAAATTTATTATTTCATTCGTATCATATTAGTGACATTATCATTTTCTGTAATTTCTCCAATAAGTGTACAGGCTTTATCAGTATTTAGTTTGTTGTCAAGTCAATTTTTTGATGAGTTATAATTTTTATACGTAAGCCTTTTTATTGCTGTACAAACATACACCGTGTTACTACGTGTCGGTCAAGCAAGTCTACGCAACGCCACGTACATCGAATGATTTAACTATATTGTAACGTACATTTAAACATTAATAACTGTCATATTTCTTATAAAAAACTACTTATGTATAGCTAAGTTTGGACTTATTTTTATAAAATCAAAGTAACTTTAGGTAGTATTTAATCCTTTTTTTCTATTCCAAACAATACTGGCCAATTGTAAATTAAAAAAATGAGGAACATACATGTTTGTGGCCCGTTGGAACTCACTTGTCCCGCGCTGGTCCAATCTCCCGCGCGAAGTTTAGTGGCTGTCAGACGACACGAGTCGGGGCGAACAAACTAACAAGCGTACACAGTTTGCTCATACCGCTCGGGTTATCTTCTCGCCAATATATCACCGATCTGTTAGCCAAAAAGGGGGTGGGCTGGATTCGTTTCCGAGAGGCTACGCAGGTGCGCTCGCGCGCCCCGCCGCGGTGCAACTACCGATTTAAAACTATACTGTTTGTGCAAGTGTTTTCAGTAACTATTGTTAAGGACTTTTCTACTATTACTTCTATAATGTCGCAGTGAAAATGTGCAATCGTTATTTTTGTAAAATTACCATACGCTTTGATATTTTATATTTTTTATACATAAGACAAGTAGATAATTCAAATTATTTTACCTACGTGGAACCTAAATATTCGTAATAGTTAATGAAGTTTTTAAGGAAAAAATTAGACCGTATATAATATGTAGTCAGATGCCAGTACTCATAAAAGTGTTACTGATATGTTAAGTTAGTTTTCAAGTAAGAAAATGGCTATAAAGCAATCTGTTCGCGTTATTTAACCCATCTTCAAAAAAGTTACAACCGAATTGTCAATCTTTATTTCATACACCGTCACAACGGAAAATTTTGCCGAAATCTTCTGATATTTTGGTTGAATTTCTAACTTATTTCGCTGTAGGTATTATATATTGTGCTACGAAGAAAACCTTAAAACCTTATGTTTCATTCAATCTGCATTCGATCTTAATCACGAAATGCTGTACAGGTAAAAGTATCATTAGTCGGATTTGTTCGAGTGCTGCAGCATGGAGTCGCCAGCGGCGACCCACATCGGCGCAGCAGCGACCAGCTTTATCAATGTTGATAAACTTAACTGCCTCCGCCGCGCTGCCGGATAACTCCGACGCCGTGAAATCGCTCCCCCGCACCTCGCACCCCACACACCGCGCACCTCCTCAACCATACCATGCGTAGGTAATCATTACGCGCCACCTATTTGTGTCCACGTGATTGCTTTTCAATATTGTATGTTACTTATGCTAGACTTTTTAAAGTGGATTCATTTTTATAGTTACGAAAATTAGACAAAAGTACTTCAATTTCATTGGCTAGTTTAGGGTTACTATTATGTTGGTAATTTATTTGTAGATATCAAAGTGCGTATTCCGAATATTTGTAAATTATTGGCTTTTATCATTAAGTGGTGCCAATTGGTATCGAATTTTAATTCAAAGTAAATATTATAAGAAAATAGCATTAAAAACTTCTTGCTGTTTTGCTTTGATTTATTAAACAGGCGTTATGTTTTTATTTGTATACGAGATGTTTTGTAACTGTGCCAATGTTGCTAAGATTTAGAGACGAGTAATATATATATAATAAACATATTTACGTTTTACAAATGACTTGTTACTTTTAGACTGGAAGAGGTGCATCTATATCTTCACTGGTTTTGAGTTAAACCTCTGCAGTCTGCAGTAAATTGTTCGAAAGGCCCACTCGTTCAACCATCATATAAAATAATTCGTCGTCCTGCACAGTACCGCATATTTTAAGTGTCGCTCTAATTAATCTATAAATTCTTTTATTGCTGTTATTTTACACATCGTATTCTTTGTTCTCATATAAATAAAAAATTTCATCTGCGCGAAGTCGTCTCACGGTGGTCTTAACGCATTTCGTAAACAATTTATAAGCGCAATATAATCTGTTTGAAAATAAAATTGGCGCCAAATTGCTGTTTACTTTACAAATAAAACGCTCTTGTTGCATAAATATGCAATTGCAAATATAAATTATCAACAATACTACTTGTTCTAGTTTATTAGTAAACATGAATAAGTAATCGCATAAAATATCCATATGTTAAGCCCGTTTATTTTATACTATACTAGATATGATTTAATTACGTATTTGGAAAATACGGCGAATGTTTTTTTTTTCTGTTAATTGAGACAGTTGTAAAAAAGGACAAACACAAAAACTTTATTATTTTTAACATCCATAAAATTATTTTATTTCTTTGAAATAGATATGAAAGAAGGTCGTCGGGCTGACCACAACCAACGTTATCACTTTTGTACCTCCACATAGAATTCTCAAACGGGAACTCCGGATATT